TAAGTTTTGTTATTACCGATTTATTAACCCATCTCAATAGTAAAAAAATATTACTTTTTAAATATGTTAATTTGAGTAATTATATTTTTAGGGTGTATATTTGATATCAATATATAAAGAAAATTTTTAAACATATATTAATTTATAATTATTTTAAATTATTAAAAAATTATTACAATTGTAAATATATATTCATAACATTTTATGTTTATCATAATATAAGTTGATATGTTTTATTATTATAGTATTAAAGAATATATATATTAGCTTATAATATTATATTTAAAATAATTATTTATATTTTTAAAAAGGCTTAAATGAACCTTTGGCCCTTGAAGTTAAAAAAAAAAACCCAATGTGACCCTTTGACCAACGTATTCCGTCATTGACTAAAATTCTATTAATTTCTGCTGTTATAAATTGGGTAAATTATATCATTCATCACTCAACTATTTTCTTTTCTTATATTTTGGTCACTAAACTCTAAAATATTTCAATTTAAAAAATCTTAGAGACTTCAGGGACTAAGATTATAGTTAACCCATTTTACCCAGTGTAGGGAAATGTAGAGAGTTTGAGGAGGAGAGGGAAGAAGTTAGAGAAATGGGGCAAAATGGGTTAACTACAACCTTAGTCCCTGAAGCCTCTAGGATTTTTGAAATTAAAAACTTCTAGAGTTTAGTGACCAAAATAGAAGAGAAGAAAATAGTTGAGTGATAAATAGTGTAATTTACCCAATTAACAGGGGTAGATATTAACGGAATTTTGGCCAATGATGGAAAACGTTGGTCAAATGATCACATTGGGTTTTTTTCGAGTTAGAGGGCCATATTGATCCAAAAAAAAGGATAGGGGCACCTTGATTTTTTTTAAACTTTAGGGGCCAAAGATTGATTTAAGCCTTTTTAAAAATAATACTAAAAGCACAAGTCTTGCATCAAACTTTTCAAAGAATGAAAGAACACAATTTCACGCAACATTTTAATCATTTTTTTCAAAAATAATAAAGCAATAATAAATTAAATGAGTACGGTTGACATGAAATTGAGGATGTAACATTCTATAAAAAAAAAGTAGATTCGCCAGTTTAACATTGTTTTATAAAAGTATGTTTGAAAAATAATATTAGAGAAAGTGATTTTAAAAGTGATTTTGAAAAAGTTAAGTTTAAGGTTTTAGTGTTTGATAGTGTTATTTAAAAGTATTTTTAATAAGATAAAATGTTTCTTTTTATATATTATAATATAAATTAAAAATATATTAATTTAAATTATTTTAAATATATTAATATTTTAACATATAGAATATATCAAATTAAATTATAAAAAAGAATATAAATGAAAAATATAATTACAATAAAATATAAAATGAATTTAAAGGGGTTTTTAGTAAAATGTATTTATCATATAATTAATACATAATTTTGTTAAAAAACTGAATTTTAAAAAAATGAAAAAAAAAGAGTAGAGTCCATGCATCACAGTAAGGGTAAAAACATAACTTTGTTTCTCGATGGAAATTTGAACTATAAAAACTAGAAATAATTTTGCGGTTAATTTAAAATAATCGATCTAAATGCGCTTTTATCTTTAATCTTTACCCGTTTGGTAATGATTTTTCTTTCAAACTTGCCTTTAGAACAAATGTGTGTTTATACAACATTACCGACAAATACATTTATTGGGCTTTATTTACTTTTTGAAACCTTTAGGATGTTTGATGAGCGAAAATCAAAGGTTGAGATTAATGGTAAGAAATAAGAAGATATTCACTAAAAAAATAAAGAGTTAATCTCAACTTTTGATTTTACTTCATCAAACGATTCTAAAAAGATTTTAAACTAAAAATTTTTGATATTCGATCCTAACCCCTAAAATGATAAAACACTCAAATAACAAATTGGAGAAAACGATTTTCCCTAAATGTAGCCCCCATATTAATTTCTCAAATGAGATGTTTTGAATAATGTTATCACAAAGACTATTTCAGCTGGTTGTTAAAGAAGCTGTTGAAACTTCGTGAGGAGGCTAGGAACTTGTTTATTCCTTGTACTAATTGGAGCATGATTAAGGGTAAATGGCTTTGGGATCAGATCAGAGTTCGTGTAGCGAAAGTTACTTGGCACAGGATCATTTGGTTCCCTGCTCATATTCCAAAATTCTCCCTTATTGCCTGGATGGCCACCCTTGATAGACTGCCTACGAGAGATAGGCTGATTAGGTTCGTCTGGTCTTGGATCATGGATGTGTCCTGTGTGGGTCTGGGATTGAGTCCCGGGACCATCTCTTTGCTGATTGCTTCTTTGCTCAAGAAGTTTGGGATGTTGTGCTAGTCTCCTGTGGGATTCGTCCTGTTTCGCTTAATTGGGACGATTGCCTTCAATGGTTGATTGTTAACTTGAAGGGCAAATCTCTCAGGGTGAGGATTCTTAAGCTTGGCTGGACTGGTTTTTTGTATTACATTTGGGAGGAGCGTAACCATAGAAGCTTTAGGGGTGTTTCACGTTCTGCTGATATGATTGTAAGTAGTATTAAAGATGCTGTAAAAATCAAATTGTATAGCTATAGTTTACAGGAGATTGATGATGTAAATAGGCAAGTGGGTATAAATTGGGGGTTGATCTAGTGCTGATTTTGCCTTGTTCTTGTAACAGCTTTGCTGTACTCTTTTTTGGATGAATATAATTTACTTATCTAAAAAAAAATGTTATCACAAAGACGCCAGAACCAACTGACGTTTTCATGAAAACACATGAAAGATCTAGTATCTTACCCATGCTTCCATAGCTAATGCGTGTTCATACTTTTCTCAGATCATACTGGGCGTCCTCCCCGAGACATGTAGAAGACGTTCTTTTCTCTATGTGTCTTCCCTGTAAACGATAGATAGCTGTTGATAGCATGCCGAGTTTATCCTTTTCACCAACAAATCTCTGCGTATTAAATACTTAACTAGTGGCTATTGATGAACAATATTTTTATTTCTTAGACCATATGTGTGTTTGTTTTCCCTTCAAAATATAGCCTAAGTTATTGTAATTTAATAAAATTTAAGATCTGATCTCTATATTTAGATGGTTATTATTTTCTTATAAAAATAAATTTGTGAAGTTTCATTGTGTTCTCACATTTAAATTTACTTATCATTAAATTATTGGGTAATTAATTTTTTAATTAACTAATTGAACAAACCAATTGGGTCTAATTTTTGTAACAATGAGTTAGTGGAATGGGCCTCTAACATCGATGTATGTATCCGGTCGTTAGGCACTTCAGTTGCTAACTGGGTGCCTGTGCTTCAAGACTCAACGAAATAAATTGACCAGGTGTATGTATATTATGCAGAAAATTCCAGATCACACTCAAATACTCGAGAGCTTACAAGTAGGCTAGGGATGTATGTTTTTTATGCATAAAATTTATGGTTCTTACCTCGAAATCGTCGAGTATCCTAGGTAGGCTAGGGTGTAATACCGAGATGTAAAAAATTCCTCTGACCACACCATTAGACCTACCTTAGCATGTTATTGAATTCTTTGCATACCCATGACTTCAATTACTAGTGTGTATATGTAATGGATGCATGTAGTATAACATAGTCATTAGTGTGGTATCGAGCTTGTAAGCTCAACGTTCGAAATTTATTTCCGTGCGCAAGTTTGTAGAGGATCGATGAGGAGCTTATCGCACAGACACATTCTAGATCAGTCGTTTTTCAAAGTATATCTTGAGTTTTTAGAGGACATGTACTGTATGGACCTTATATAATTTCAAGTCATAACTCTATTCAAAACTTATTGTATTTTGGAGATTTATCATTAGGAGCTTCCCGTATTTTGTAAGCTAAAATACTATGTTTTATTTTATGACTATTATGGATGCTTTCTTTTATGATAATTGCAAATGATTTTAAGAAAATTTTGGGTCAGTTACTTCGATGGTGCATGTAATACTCTAATCTTTCGATCTTCATGTCGAATTAGATTAGGGTGTTACATGCATCCCATTCAATTCAAATATATCTTACTCAAAAATTAAAAATCGTGCGATATTTTGGAATAAATCAACGTGGTGATTAAAATTTGAACCAATTCAGATTAACAAGAGGACGTGATAAAACGATAAGAAGAAATGGAAGCAAACAAAGTGAAAAGAAATGAAAAAAATAAATAATGAATGGGAATGTGAAAAAAATTATAATGAATCATAACAACAATATTTTGATTTAGATTTAATTTTTTAAGGGTTCAAACTAACGTTGTTTTAATATAAGTTGACGTGCCATAACACCATTAGTTATTTAATGATAGAGTCAGTGAATAAATTCAAAAATTTTAAAATTTAATAAGTAAAATAGGAGAGAGAGAAATTTATTAATGATTTATGTAAATTACCGATACAAAATCCCATCAAATATAAACCACAAAAAACGAAAACAATAAAGATAGAAAGGTTAAAAAGTGTAGCCCGTGACTTGTGACCATCCTTTTCGAAGGGCACCACCCACAAAATCAAAGACAAGGAACCCCACTCGCTTTAGATTACAGGCCCACCATCTCCTCTAATTAAACGCCTGCACAAATACCATACAATACAACCAAATTTCACCTAATCACCTAATAATCTCGAATTATCTTCTTAATCTACAATTAATAATGCAATCATACATCAAATCTTCTCCCACCCTTTATACAGTTTTAAATTATTTAATTGTATAATATAATATATTTTTTTGAATAAATTACGTATTTAGTAACATGTCTATTCTTTGGTATCGTTTTAACCATTCAAATATTTTTTTCAAAGTCATATTTAGTTGCGTTTTGATCATCTGCTTTTAAAAAATAAATAGAACGATTGACGTGAATTTCTTTCAATGATACTTAACATAATCTTATAATAATTACCATCATTGTTAATCTTTTAACAATAGATCAAAGCTTAATAATAAGAATAGGTAGATGAATAAATACAAGGTTTATCCCATATTATTTTAGTTTTTTCAAGCGACGCTGATGATGCTGCCATTGATATCACCACTAGACATGGCCTGAAAAGTAGACGAATAAACTCCTGCCGCCGCTTCCTCTTTATCGGCGGACGGCGTTGAGACTTTCAGCGTCAGTAAAGGGTCATCTTGGGTTTTGTGGTTTAAATTAAGATCAGCCATTTTCAGCGTTTGACTCACAGGCAGCGGCGGCAACGAAACGTTTTCTTGGCCGATAACTTCATCTTCTTCCGATTTGGTCGTATTCATAAACTACAATTTCCAGCACAAAAGAAAAAGAATGTAATTAGATATAGTAATAAATAGATCAAAAAGAGAGAAAATGTATATTTATTCGTACTGAATGAGTTGTTATATCAAATAGACTGGATCTACGGCGTCTCCGATTCCGGTTATTTTGCCGGAGAAAATACTTCTGAGCATGACTGGCCACCTGTGTCGGCGTACGTGTCTTCACGAAGTGCCGGGAAATCCCTCTCCAATCTCCTTTACCTACTTTCTTCAACCCCACTAAGAACAATCTATGCTCCTCCTCCGTCCACGGAACACCTATATATATAATTAAATTTAACGGTGAAAGACAAAATCAGTCAAAAAGATGTGTCGTAATAAAACTATACCTCTCTTGCGTTGGCGGCTTCTTCCAGATGCGTGAACCACGTCGTCGGAAGCATAGCCGGTGGCACCGACGGCGTTGGAATAATCCGGAGGCTGCTGCTCCTCATCGTCAAACTGGCAAAGATTGTTCATGCTAACACTTTTTCTGAACGACCCTTCTCTTATTCGAACACCGAATAACATGATGCTGTTACGGCCGCCAGCGACCTTCCCGCATGTTCTTGAGTTGTGGACGGCGTTTCCACTCTGAGAACAGCTACGAGACATCCTTCTTTTCTTTTCTTTCTATGATCCCTGAATCTGGTTGGACCCTTTATTTCGGTTTCAAGTGAAAACGGGAACGGGAACGGGAAAATACATATATAACAATCGAGTGTTAACTGTTAAAGGCAAGAAAGGGAGAAGTAAACGGCAAACGGGCTATAATCCCATTAATCCCTAAAAAGAAGAAAATTGTGAAATATAGAGGGTCTAACTAACTTTGTTTTCGATCCTCATATTATGTTGAAATTAAAGATTTAACCTTTTTAATTTGATATAATATAATTAATGGAAGATCTGAAAATATTTTTTTTGAATGAACACATGTTAACACATAAATTTTTAGAGTAGATTACGCATTTAGTACCTAATTATCAATTTTAATCTGTTTTGGTACTTAAACTTTCAATTTTTTAAAAAAAAACATACCTAATATTTAGTTTTCATTTCATTTTAGTATTCATCGTTAAAAATTTAACGTGTTTAGTACCTAAACTTTCAAATTTTCAAACCTTAACGTTAAATTTTGAACGAGAATACTAAAATGAAACAAAAACTGAAGGTTTAACAATGAGTACTAAAACGAAATAAAAATTAAACTTTAGGTATGATTTTAAAAAAAATAAAAGTTTAAGTACTAAAACAGACCAAAATTAATAATTTAATACTAAACGTATAATTTATCAATTTTTTAGTACAATGAATATAAATAAAATAAGTGGACACCATAAGTAATCTAAAAGTGAACATGCGTCCGTTCTCAAAAAGATGTGGACTGTCATCATATATAATACTTTTTTTTTAATAATCTAAGGTGATTATTAGATAATATTTTAATTTTTTTTAACTAAGTGACAATGCACACCTTGTAAAAATAATTGTTTAAACCTAAAATCTCTAAAAAAACAACATTCTTTTTAGTACGAGTCGATTTGATAGGTTATAATACTCTAATTTTTAAATTTCATCGGTACATTCAACTAGATAACACTATTAGTTATTATCATTAAAGTGACAAACATAATATTTTTAAGGATAGACTATACAAATGATTCACTAACTATAGGAGATTACTTTGTAGAGTCCTCTAACTATTAAAAATTATAAAATAGTCCTCTTGCTATAAGTCACTAGTTTGTTGAGTTTTTCTACTATTAAAAGTTGCAAAATGACATCAAACTATTCATACATTTTGAATTCGTCTTTTTTTGTTAAAAAATTAACGACTCTGTATTTTGAAAATTAACCTGCTGATTGGGATATGTTAAAATCTGGTTCGAGAATCTCAAATAACTATACAACTCAAACGAGCATGAAATCAAGTTATATCATATCCTAATCAGCAAGTTAATGTTCAACTTAGACAACTGTCAATTTTTAAATAGAAAATAATGAGTTTGGAACATATGAATACTCGAGTGACTAGTTTGTAACTTTTAATAGTTATGGGACTCAACAAAGTAACGTTCTATAATCTAAGGACCATTTTATAACTTTTAATAATTAGTTGAATCCACAAAATAATGTCCTCGGACACTCGACCCAATTTAAATATTTATACTTTATATATTTATTATTCAATTTAGATTTAGGGAAGTTTCGTCTCATTTAATTTTAATTCCATCTTTGGGATAAGAATCCTTACCTACACCTATATATGTATAATTTGATAAAATAATATCATAATTAAAAAAATATTATTATAATTATTTTCAATTATATCAAGAATAATTCTTAAGTCGAAATAAAAAAAAATTGCCATTCTAAACCTAAATCCAACCCAATCTTGTTCTTAATAGAATCCAAATTGCAGGCCCAATACACCATGCTTTGATGGGAGGACATGTTGGACATTTTGATTTGTAAATTGTTTTCGTCATTTGGTGAATGATTTTTGGATCTTTCAATTCAAAGCCTATTCTCTTATAGTTTGGAGATTTTCTTTGATCTTATCAATCCTCATTAAGAAACTGTTTGTTGTTGAGAATCTTATTACATGAAAGAAGATTCAATTGGGATAATAATTTAATTTTGCCTGATTGAATATATATTTATATGCACTACACGAGAACTGGTATCAAGAAAGAAAGCACGTAGACTAGATAGGACCTAAGCCAATCAGTGGCTGTGAGGGGGCAAGTATTCTGTTGCACACCATATCTTCTAAAACCATTGTTCTTACAGTTAATTTACTGATGGAATTGAAAGGAAAACCTACAGCCCCGTGTGTATATGCCAAAATGCTGGCACCTCATTATCAGTTTCACCCACGATTTCATCGTATCATTTCATCTTCAATCTCGATTTCTCCGAGGCGCTTGTCTGCTTACCTGAAAAAACAAAAAAGGGAAATAAAAAGATCAAAAACACTTCGGTTTTCATCTTGCGGAGACATCAAGTATATAGCAAATTTAAAGAGCGATTCCTTTACCTGTTGCCACAACGAACCGGTGAAGTCCCACCGGCAGCACTACCATTGCCAGCCTGGAACCCCTCTGCGTTTTGAATGTAATTCTTTGATGTTCTACTTGAGAACCCTGAATTCTCTCTTGTGACACTCCCAGCATCGGCCACTGAGTTCATAACAAATCCACTCCACCCTTGAACCTGATATCTTTGGCTAAATGATGGATTATACGTTCTGCCGCCGGAATCTTCATCAGGTGTGTTATGTATTGCATTTAGCGAAAGCCTGTGCCCCGAAGAAGAAGTAGAAAATCGACCTTCGGTTTTCCTCCAGAACTTGGGACTCAAAAATTCTGCACCAGGCAGCTTGCAACATGTGTTATCTGGAGAATCCGTGTTTGGAATCCTACCACTTGAAATAGCCAAATCATATGATATTTCATCCAGAGCCATCTCCAGGCCATTTACTCGTGTCTCTAGAGAAGTGATCCCACTTTGGGAGCTCCCAATGAATTTCTAGAATCAAAAGAACAACAATAAGAAATTATAAGAAAGCATTACCCTTTGAAAGATAGAGACTATGCAAAGTAAACTACCCGGAGGAGGTTTAATAGATTAGATTGCTGGTCTTCAATTTGAGCAAGTTGTTCACGGATCAAAGACAGATCCTCCATGTCTTTGAGATTCTCGTCAACATCAAAGTTCTCGTCATCATCATGTAAAGGAACCACCCGAGACTCTGATCTCAAACCACCAAAATTCTTTACTTTTTCATCACGGGCCTTGACAAAGGGTACACACTTTTTGGTATTGTCGTCATCGGAAAACAGAGATTTCGGCTCGGAGATTTCAATCTTCCAATTAGATGATTTTGAGCGGTCCGGCTTACCAAAAATCGACGAGTTACTTTTCAGCGGAGTCTCTTTCTTCGCAGTGGATGCATCAGATGGAGGGGACCTGCTCGTGATGACTACTTTCTTTGATTGGGGAGTTCTAAAACCAACATCACTGATATTTTTTGCAACTGAAGGAAAGCATCCAACGCTACCATTATCTGTTCCCACGATCAAAGCACACAATCATAATTCATAAATGATAAAAGCTACTAGTTTATAGCAGTGGTTATCAACCATAAATGTTCTACAGCAGCACGATAATAGCAACCCTTAAATTTTCCAAGTTTTAAAGTGAATCTTGTTGAAGAAATTGATCACTCACATTGAAGTATCAAACTATTAAGGGTATGGATAATGATGATTAATTTCCAAATATCAGACAATTAATTACAAGGTAAATATAATTAAATCAATATTATACCTACTGAAGATGAATCGGACGTTGAGGTCTCTTCACAAACTCCAGAGACATCCTTCCATAAATTCAAACTACGATTCATAGTTTCTCGGACAATCTTAACCTGAAGCAACAAAATTTATCAGAACGATGAGCAAATATTCTTCTACTTTTCCCCCTTTCCGGGAAAAGATATATTACTAAATGAATTCGGAGTAAGGATACAAACGGATGCACCGTATCAAATCTCTTGTTCTCAAGAGCAGTCACAGTCGCCGCTTTAAAGTCCGCTGCTAGCTCTTTCTCCGCCATAGCCACTGTCCCTAACGCCTCGGCCGCCGCCTTTCTCGTTCCCCAATCTTCGTTACTCAAAGACTCAACCGCGCAAGGACTAGCCAATCCAAGACGCCTTTACTTCCGGCACCGCCAACGCTGGCAATGCTTCCAATAACTCCGAAAACAGCCGCTTTCGCTTTGAAACTTTCACTCCTCAGTAACCTCCCCAACTTCGGCAAAACCTTCTTAAGCTGATCCATCTCGGGATCCGGCGCCGCCTCGATCGCCGCCGATAAACACATCGCAGCTCCGATCTGCGAGTTAACGTCTTGCTCCACCACGAGCATTTCGATCAAAGGCTTTGACAGAACCGAAAATGGAGGCTTCGTGATGTGAGATGATATAGCGGTCGTCGCCTCGACGCAAGCGGATCGGACGGCGGAGTTGGGGTCGCGGAGCGGCGGGCGAGGACGGAAATCATCTTAGAAAGGTAAGGAGATAGGATGTTGCCGTGCGATTGAGACATCAAAGTCAAAAGCATCACGCATTGCCTCCGAACCGGAGACTTGGCCGAAGAGTCGGTGTTGTGAAGGCAGTTAAGGAACGGAGAGATGGAATCGGCGGTGAGGTTTCGAGCGATGGACTCGAGCTCGGCCGAAGCGAGTGCGAGAGTGTCGCGGTCGGCGAGCTTGTCGAGGCAAGCGAAAACGCGTTTTTTGAGATCGTGCAGTTGAGGTTGAGGACTCGGCGGTGACCGGTTCTTGAAAGACATTGTTGCTTATGGCTAAGTATTGTTTTTTGCGAAGCCCTTGTATACTGCATTCGAGGGGAGGAATAGAGAGTGGGTGTGGGAATTTGGCGGTAAAAAATAGTGGTTTGGGGGAAATTGCGGCATGAGAGCAAGGGTTTCACTTGTATATAATTGCGCCGACGCCAATATTAAACGTACCTACCTATTGAACCGATTAGACCGGACCAGACCGATCAAACTACTACTTTTAACCATTATACAAACTATTTTCTTTGAATTGGAACGGGCCTTCGAACCACCATATTATATTATCGTAAGATCTAAAAAAGCATCATAAAGTAGGCTTGGTTTAGAATGGTATAGATGATTTTTATCAATAGAAGAGAGCTGAAGTCTACGTTCGAGGATATGACTAACTT